TATTCAGATCCATCATAAAAGAAAACGATATGGAAACGGGAAAATATTAAAGAAAAAATTGATTGCATCGAAGCAATTAAAATAATTAATAAATCAGTGGAATCGGAAGTTTATAGAATGTCAACGAGCCTATATTAGAATTGAAAAATGAAATAATTATTTTGGTATGTGAGATATTGCATTAAACAAATACATATTTAGGCAGCATATATTTTTTCGGTTTATTCATCAATAAAATATTGTTTTGGGTATCAGACTTTATAATGCAAAGTAAATAGTTTGCATAATATAACCTGATACACAGAACATTATTATCAACATTTAACACGATATATTGCTCATAATATATATATATATATATATATATATATATATATATATATATATATATATATATATACTGAAAGGTTTACCAACAGTAGTTGTTTAATACGAATTTTATTCCGAAAAAATTGACTTACATAAACAAATTTGACGGTCTATTGAATATCTTAGCTTTTTGATAATTTATTCTTAGTTACCTAGAGTATTTTGCAATGAAATATCTATTTATCTACCTATCGATGATTTTTTCTATCTATCTATCTATCTATCTATCTATCTATCTATCTATCTATCTATCTAGTATCGAGATAAAAATTAACACTGTTTGATGACTGTTAGTTTCACGTCCCAATTCGATATCCAAGTCAAATTTAAATTATATATATATATATATATTGCTTTGTATTATGAATATTTATATACAGTGCGGGAGAAACAAATATTCATACACATACAAATTTTGTATTTACAACTAATGAATAAACATACTTTTCATATAATTAATTGTACACAAATCCATAACTAAATATGCATAGAAAACAGAAACAATTGATTCATTAGAAATAAATCCCATTTATCCATTTTAATGGCTGAAAAAAAGTTTTTGTACAATACAAAAAAGAATACATAATCTTCATTTAATACTTTGTAGAATAACCATTATGTACTTCTACACCAACCGACTTCTTGTAGTTCTCAATAAATGCTTTGAAAATTTTAGCTGATATTTTGTTCTATTCTTCTTCACATATGGTCTTAAGATCCGCTATGTTTCTTGGAGCTTTCGATTAGATTTGAATTTTCAAATAACGCCACAGATTCTCGATTGTGTTTAAATCTGGCGATTGACTTGGCCATTTCAGAATATTTACATTATTTTACCTAGCCATTTCTTTGTAGATTTTTCAGGGTGATTAGGATCATTATCATGTTGGAAGAACCAATCAGGAGAAAGTTCAAGATTTTCAACTGAAATCATTCAGTTTGCTTCCAAAATATTTTGATATACTGCGGTATTCATTCTACCATCTGTTACTGATATATTGCCAGTACCTTTTGAAGAAAAAATCCCCAAACCATGATGCTGCCACCACCAAATTTTACTGCTGGAACTGTGTTCTTTTATTTGAAAGCATCGCCATCTTTCCTTCATAGATGATTTCTGGAATTACGTCCAAACAACTTAAATTTGGTTTCGTCTGTCCATGATAATCTTTGCCAATACGATTTTTCCTTATCTTTATGCTCACAAATGTATTTCAACCTGGCATCTCTGTTATTTCAATAGCAGTGGAGTTTTTCGAGGGGAGCGTGACTTTAGATTGTTTCTATGAAATTCATTGCTTATTGTCCGTTTAGTGACACAGATTTCTGATCAAAGAAAATCATCCTGCAACTCTTGACAAGTAAACATTGGATTTGTTTAATTTCACGCATTAATTTCCTCGAATATCTTGCAGAAAACTTCGGTGGAGCACCTGTTCTTCTTTGGTTTTCAACAGTTTTGAGGGTTTTCTTTATAACTTTCAATGAATAAACTAATGATAGTAAATGAAATATTCTGGTTGTCTGAAATTTTCCTATAACTTTTACCTTCTTTCCTTAACAATACCTTAACAATAAGTTCTTTTTGCGAATTCGTCAGTTCTTTACTTCTTTCCATGATGAAAAGCTTCTTGTATGAATATCAATTACAGAATGTTCTGCTTCTATTTTTAGGTGAAAAAATAACTACTGGCAACATGATTGACCCATTCTAGAATATTACAGTTGAATAAGCTAGAGTATTACAGCAAATTAGAAGTTTTAAAATAGGAAATTTGCATTGTACGAATACTTTTTTCACCCATTAAAATGGATAAATGAGATTTATTTTTATTAAATCATTTTTTGGTTATCTATGCATATTTAGTTATTATGCATCTGTGTACATCTAATTATATGAAAAGTATGTTTTGTTCGTTAGTTGTAAATACAATAAATTAAAAATTTATATGTGTACGAATATTTGTTTTTCCCATATTATATATATATATATATATATATATATATATATATATATATATATATATATATATATATATATATATATATAAACCTATTCCTATCTGTATCAATATATATATATATATATATATATATATATATATATATGACAACTTTCATAAATGTCTGT